AGAAACGGGTGATTGTCATCATTCCCGATGAGAGCACGTCGTCTGTCATCGATTACCTGGAACAGAGATATCCAGAAGTTCCGGAATGGTCGGTGCAGAGAAAGGCACGCGAGGAAGGACTGGAAGAGGAATGTAAATCGATTCTGAAAAAGAGGAAAAAGAAGCCTTGGTGGAAGAAGGTCTTCTTCTTCTGGAAGAAATAAATCAGCAAGGTCTTCTCACCGGATGTGTCTTTCCCCCGATTGTGACTTTTTTTTACCCGGATATGGACTTTTACCTGGCTATGACCTAATGACCGGACGCGACTTCATTCATCGGATGTGACTTTTAATGGCAGTTTGGCGTCTTCCCTTTCCTGTTGACGGTTCTCGGAATGATACATGTCCTTCGTCATCGCTTACGAGGGACGTGTTCTTCCACTTCAGTTAATTAAAGTCGACGGTGACAACTTAGCATCGTCTTCGGTCGTTTCAAATCTCTCAACTGACGATGAAATTCTGATCGGAAAATAATGGATTTTCGCCAGCAACGTGCGTGTCAACACTGGACACCCGAATAAAAACAAAAGGGAAATATCGCAGTTACCATATGTCTAAGCCACAATTATAATTATGTCGAACAATTAAATGTGTATATAAACTTTTACTTAATAAAACTTTTAAACTTTATATTAATTGACTACGTGTATCAGTTTAAATATTATATCTGCACGCTTTATTTTTGGACTAATTTATAATTAAAGTTGAAAGAAATCTTTTTAATAATTGAAACGAAAGGCAAAACAGAAGAAAATGTGCGCGATTCATAACGAAAGAAAAATATAAAAATAAAAGAAGTAAAAGTAATTTTAAAAACTTGCGAACTTGTATCGATACAAAAGCACGAAATAAAATGCTATAAAACAGAGATTATTAACCTGAAGTGTGTACTTTGTTAATTAACAATAATTCTCTAACTTAATATCAACTTAATAGCAGAAAAGTTCTCAATAAATGAAATTATAAAGACACCTGTCTTTGTAATTTTATTTGTAGAGGATTTTTCTGGTGTACTGTACGATCATTTGCCACTGTATAATGTACAGTACTGTACCGAACAATGTAGAATACAGCCGAATACAGAATAAGGTTAAAAATTGCAGCAGATTTTCTTACATATGTCTAGAGCAAACGAGATTTAACAAATTCAAACGCTCGTCATCCTATAAATAGTAAACTGGCAAATTCAAGGTTCTACTTGTTTACGCTAAACTACTTGTTAGGACTAGGATCAAAATAAAATAAAATATTAAGGAATGATAACAAATAAGTGATTATAAATTTGTTTTAAACAAATTATTTATAAAATATAATTAAAATTTGAACAAAAGTATGGTTTTAGTCGAAATTTTTTGAAATTTTTCAGGTACACAAATCATAATACACAAATCTCCCTGATTTGTGTATTATGATTTGTGTACCTGAAAAATTTCAAAAAATTATTATAAAAAATTATGGGGATTGATGCTATTAAATTTTTATGAATTTAGGTCGAGCAGGTGAGATAAAGATGGTCGTGTGTATTTCTAGTAGGGTCCGATTTAATGAAGATTTTACTCGTTATTAGCATTTACAGTTATTTTATAAAACCTATCCCTACCCTGAAAATTAAGTTTTTTTTGCCATTTCATAGTAGTTAAATATATAAAGTGATTTTAAATAAAATATTATCACAAATGGTGCCACCAAATGTTGCCGGGAAAGGTAAGCAACTCGTTGCTGAATTTTTTGTCTCTGCTGTTTGGAAGTCTTCTAATGCCAGACATGCCATTACGATACAGTCAGAGACTTCATGTACGGCTGATGGAATTTGAGAAAGGCTGCATCATTTGGCTGAGGGATGCAAGATGGCCATTTTGACCAGTTGTTTGCCATCCGGGGCATTTGATCTGATTGTGAAGACATGTTCCGGCAGTGGACACGTGAACGACCACATATATGCGGGCAGGTCTGAACACGCCAGACATAAAGAAAGGACAAGGAGAGAAAATCGTTTGATAGTGAGACAATCACGACAGCGTCTTTGTCCACTATCTAGAGATAGAAGGAAGCTTTGCTACAGAACCTGTCTTTTTTCGTACCATCAGCAACCTAACAACGTCTGCTTCGTTGACAGAGAAACGTGGACTGCTGCAAACTGGCAGCACTTAGTCTTTATCTTTAGCGATGGCTCCGTTTGGTAACGGACGAACACCGTGTTAGAGTACGGAGGACTCCCGGTAAGCGCTTCGATCTTGCTTTTAGACCATGGACGTGGCCAAGGGTGCCTAGGGGGGCCTGGGTGGGCACGCCCCCCAGTTAACTTGGTTCCCACCCCAGAAAATCACAGCCGAAAAAGTGCTGAGCCGGTTTGCAGAAAGAAATAAAAAGTTGAAGCTGAAATTTCTGAATCCTAAAAAGAAAAAAAAAAAGGTCAACGGCTCCCTGTGCCCAATGTTATGATTAAAGGAAGCTTCATATTTTATGTGTGTTAAATTATTGTCGATTCTTATGGAATTTTCATTTGGATGAACAATAATTTGAAATAATTCAATTTTGTGTCAGGTTGGCCTCTACTAGGCCCCCCATAACAAAACTCTGGCTACGCCCATGTTTTAGACCCATTGTTGGGGGGCACATTACTCTCTCTGCTGGCGTGCTGGTTTAGGGAACCCTCTTGTGTGTCAATTGGCCACTCCTAGAGTGATGCAAGAGATTGACGGCATAGTGTTACGTTCAGGAAATTCTACGCCTCATGTTGATTTTCCTGGCAGAGTTGTAAATAGCCATCTATCATCAAGATAATACGCGGTCGCATATAGTTAGGGTTTCTCAGGCACGTTTCTACACTTCGGTATCCAGATTTGTCTTCTATCGAGCAATTCTAGGATGCCATTTTTAGCCACATACAAGTGGCATTTGCAACATCTGTAGAAAAATCTGCCTCTGGATAGCAGACAGTGCCTGTATGTCTCTATGTTTAACTGTATCACTGCATTTACCTATTGCACTCAATCAAAAATGTTCACTGTGATATTTATTGTGTAATCGAGTTACAATAACCAAGTATTTTTGAACAATAAATATCTAGTCTACCCGTCGTAGTCAATGCCAGGGCAGTAAAACTGTTTTATACTTTATCTTTTTTCATGTAAAAATCAAATACGTGTTCAAATCGTCATAATTTTAATGTAGCAAAGTTACTGGATTTTAATGATGATGATGTTTCGTGATTTTAATTAAAGTTTGCGTGTTTGTCGTGTTAAAGGAATCCCTTTCCCGTGGTTACCTCCAAAAGACTGTTCCCGGTGTTCTCGATCATCCTCCGGTGATATCCATCAAGACGCCTTTCGTCCAGGTGGCTCCTCGTCATCCAAACTCAACAAATCGACAACCGTCATGAGATCCCCGCTTTCAGTTGCAACTTATAAGACTCCGGATCGGAAGTCGATTGTAAGCATGACTTTGTTTTTTTATTAAACGCGAATATTACTGTCAGTCCATGTCGGTGTAAATCTCTGTGTCCAGTTCCACTATCTCATACGGTAGAAATCTCTCGCGTCATCCTGACAGATCGTGAGAATGGCGAGTACATCTTTCTTTCACTGCAAGACAGACCATTGTTGGACACTATTCTCACACTTCTGTCCAAAGTCGGATGCAATTCCTACATTCTTCTGTCCTCCGTTTCGTGAAGCGACTTTCTTGAATTAGCACGGCTCGAGACGTTCCAGATGTACTGTACAGTAGAATCGTAAGAAATACACTTCCACACTCAACATATTCGATATATATTGATATATATACAGTTTATTTACAAAAGAACACAGTTTATTACGGTACCAAACCGTACCGATTGACATAACAACGGAAGACAAGTTAGAATAATCGGGGATGTCTACTCGATAATTTCCATACCGTGGAGAGGCGCTATTCGCACTTTCATCCGATCTCAGACCTCACCCGTGCCTGAGCGTACCTTCCGGAGAAATGTAGCCTCTCTCCCTATCCTCAGAGAGCTTGCCAAGTATCTGAGATATAAGTGTTGTCAGTAAGCGAGCCTTATCATCCACCCTTTTTCTATTGTCTTCTCCCCCAATTTAAAGGTTTTTCGCCAGCCAACTTCCGACCAATCAGAATTTAATTAATTTAAAATATGCTCCCTACCTCAAATTATATCTTGCCCCTGTACATCATACTTTTCCTTTAACAGCAGAATCGTGTCGGTCATCTATCTAACGCCTTTAGCGGAAAAATTTTGAATCAAAATAACGACTTCCAGTTTTTGTCGGAAGTTCGTGTATAGTTAATCGGAGCCTCCTCTCAGTAAGGTTTCCATATCTGTCTCGGATTTCATCTATCTATCTATGTTCTCAAGATTAAGGAAAGATAAACGACGGACGACAGTGGGAATTTATAGGTCTACATTTTTTTCAAATTGCAGCCCAATAATAATTTGTTAAAAAATTATGAAAATAAAATTTGCTCTTTATTTTTTAAGAGACATTCGACAGAATTCTAAATATCTGAAATTTACTGTATATTTCTTTGTTGATTAATATTTATTTTGAAATATCTTAAGTCATTTTTAATTTAAAGAATTCTGCTTCTGTTGTGAACACCCATAATTCATACTTTATTTTCAAAAGTGTTTATCTAAACAGCAGGATGACTGAGACTGTTAAGGAATCAGTTATCCACTCTGAGGGACCTGGGATCAAATCAGAGAGCAAGCACCTGAAATATTCCTGGGTGGTCCTTTAGCAGGAATTTTTCATATGTGGTATGTTCCAAGTGTTCAAGTCTCATTCCTCCATCTGGCTACTCCTATAACTCTCAGAGCTCAGTATCTCAGGCCTCAAGAAGTATAATAATGGCTCTATAGGCAAGTCTAAAACTGATAAGCACATTAAACAGATTCTAGTTTATATACATAATACATTAATAATACAATAAATTATTAATATCACACAAAAATTTAAATAAAATATAACTTTTATTTCTGTATATTGCTTCCATATGTATGTAATAACAGATTTGTTTCTAAAACAATAAATAGATTGATTTAGAAACAAATGAGAAGGGAATTTAAAACAAAATAGAATTTTAAAATTAATCATAATTAATGATTTAACATTTCACATATAAATTTAAAATTTCTCTTATTGTAATAAATTATAAGAGAAATTTTAAAATTTGTTCATTAAACTCATCTGCATATCTTAAATGGATGTTATGTCTTCCTTCTGGAAATCTATAACACCTGAAAAACAGAAAAATTTATCCAATTATTTTCATCTATTTAAAATTCAAATAATTCAATAATCATTTATTGAATTTTATGAATTACCTCAATATTACTGAAATATAAAAGATAAATTACCAGTAATCAAATATTTTAAAAAACTGTATTCTGTATGCAATGTACAGTAGATTGTCAATTATCTGGGATCATACTGTGTCAGAAGTGCTTAAAGGATGAGCCATTGTCATTAAAATCACTTTAAGATTCATCTGTTTTGCAGGCCTTGGTCAGAAGGGAAAGGGAATAATGTAATTTGCTGAAGTGTCCTGTTTATTACAAAAAACTACATTTGGTAATTGTATGCATTGTCCTCTTCATGTTTCTTTGCAAACTTGCCTCTGCTGTTTACTGAGTACAGGATTTAAATGGTACTGAATTAACAGGGACAGCATTTTCCCATTCATCTCAGATCATTAAGAGTCTACTACACTGTATTCAGGTCTGAATAATCAATTTCAAATAGCCAAATTTAAAAATATGTAAAAAAGTCAATGTTTTATACAGTATATGAAATATATATATATAGAGTAAACCCTGTTAAGAAGTTTTGGAAGGGTCCACTGTAAAAAAACTATGCAATTTCCATAAAACCAAGAAATGGTTGGCTAATGAACATGTTATTGTATTGAAAGCAGCATCCTCATTTTATTAAAGGAAGATACGTACAGATCTCTCATGTAAAAAACTAAATTTTTATTTGAATATTCAATTTTATTTCAGTAAGATGCACTGCTATGGTCAGTGCATCTTACTATTCTTAAGTATCTGGTGTTGATATAACATATTCACAATTAATTAAAAGCACCATGTAGAAATTATGGTCAAACCAATAAGACCAGAGCAAAATTAAAGACCACCTCAGGTGTGCAGGTGTTTGATATACAATATGGTGAATATCTTGAGTTTATTCAAACTTTACTGTTTTACAAGTGATAAAGTTATGGTGAGGAAAAAGATTACAATTTGGCTCCAATGGAAAGTTCTTAAGTGAGTAAAATATCATTGATGAAATATTTTGGAATGTCTTAAACAGGAAATCTTTTTATGTGAGAACTTATTATGCAGAAAATTTTAACACACATTTTATGGTGTAAATGCTGAGACTGGAAGATTTGGATTTCTTATGCAGGAACTTCATAATTGTTTCTACTGTACTTAAAAATTAAAGCTTTTATTTATGTATTTTTCTTACAAAAATATTTGTAATTAAAATATATAATAATAAAAATATTCAATGTGTTTTTTGTAAAAGCAATTGTCAAATATGTAAATCCATTTTGTAAGATTGCTGTGTTGAAGATTTTGAACTTTATACAAGTTAAGACAGCACAAAGATTTTTTAAACAATTTTTTAGAAAAATATTGTTTTGCATAATATAAACCTGAAATTTGACAAATAAAGATTTCAATTCAACAAAAATATGACATAAATCAACAAATAAAATATATTAAATAAACTAAAATGATAACGATATTAATAATAAAAATAATAAAATAAAATAAAATACACAAAAAATGCATCCAAGTATAAGGATAGGCATGCACTACAAATTTTTATATATTAATTTTTCTTTAATGTATAATTTCCATGCAGAAGCTAGTCCATCTGCATCTCTGATATTAATACAACCATCCTTTAATTTACTTTTATTTATAAACATTCTAGAAGATGCTCATTTCTCAACAGCAAGGGGTAAGGGACACTTAATTTTTCATTCTGATTATTCTTTTTAGATCATCCTCCCAGATTTACCCAGACCAAAATTTTAGTTATGCCACTGTGTATACTGTTTGATTTTTAAAACTTAAAATTAAAATTATGTAAAAGCTTATAATTACTTTGAATTTTTTATATTCTCTAAAAGATACGGAATATGGAAGAATGGAACAAGAGGATCTTTATCTCCATGAAGAATTAATGTTTCACATTGAATTTTCTTTAAATCATCCTTACAAAGATCACCACCATTAGAAACTATGTCCTGAACAGCATCTAAATAATTGTGCCACATTTTACGAAAATATTCTTCTCCATATAAAGCTAACATTGGTTCTAACATTTTCCTATTCCATTGTTGTATATCTCTTGCAGCTGTATTAAAACAAAAAGATTACTAAATTATTATGATTATTTGTTTTATACTTTAAACTATTTTAATTCAATGAAAACTGAAAAATTTTAATATACCATTCATCATTTGTACATCATCATTTGTAAAATATGCAGTTGAACCCCATATGGCAAGTTTCTGTACAACATCTGGATAATTTGCTGCAATTATCAAGCCCATTGTTCCACCATCACTCCATCCTAATATTGAGTATTTATGATGACCTAATTTCTAAAAAAATATTAAAGCAAGAGTTATTATATTTATTAAAATTTACTGTCACAACTTTTTAAAGTTTTTCATGAATAATTTAATTTAATAGTTATTAAAAACAGGATATTCATTTTAAAATGGAACTCATACTTCTCAGCCTTCATATACTAATTATATACATTATTTGTTCATAATTTGTAGAAGAAGCTGACTGATTGTCACCAGTAAAGCATTACCTCAAACAGCCAAGAAACATGGAAAATAAATGTATTTTAACATATTATGAATAGAATAATGCAGTTTTTTAAAATTAAGGTTCTGATTCTTAAAAAATTTTTATTGTAAAGTACAATTTTCTCAACAAATCATTTGTGTTATGTAAAAAAGCATTTTCAAAATGATATGATGAAATGATAAAATAAAATAATGATTTATCAAACTACAAAACTTGAAGAGATTAGTTTTGTGTGTAATCAAAATCATAAGCATAGTTACATCCTAAATTATAAAACATCTTTCAAATAATGCTGCCTTCTGCAGCCTATGTGTATTGATTCTATCAAATTAACATTATTTGTATTTATATAATTTATAGTTTTTATGAATCTCAAAACATTTTTATGCTCATTTAAACAAACTGAGATATGATTTTAACTAACACAATGAATGAAATGTAATCATTTTAAGTAATCGTAATTTCATTGAGTTTTTAAATATATTTTTTCCTTTTATTCAAATCATGAATATAAAGCAGTTACATGAAACAAGAAAAACTATTATCTTGCATAATTCTATATCTCATTAAATAATCATTAAATAATGTTCTCATATAATGCCAGAAAATATCAAAATTATATATGAATATTTTTATTTAATTACAAATTAATTCTAATTTTGTTGTACAGTATTTATTATTATAATTAGTTAATAATAAATAAATAATAAATAGTTAAATAGTTAATAAATAAATTTATTTATTTCGATTGTATTTTTTATATTTTGGATTATTACAAGTACTACTTATTTACAGAAACATGCTAACAGAAAAGTTGCTTCATTCCTATAATCATTACTCTATTCATTTTAAATTAATATTTATTAAAAATACATATTGTAAATTTATTTCTAATAAAATGTCATATAATTTGTTACAAACAATTTCTTTTCACAACAAACTACATGCTAATAATATTCATTGGTGTAATGACTTTTATTTTTAATTTTTCTATAGTTAAAAGTAATGTTGGTCATTTTGTTAAAGTTTTCTTTGCAACCAACAATATTCATTAAAAATCAACAAACATACTTGCCCAAAAGAACTTGAAGCCACAAGCTGACAAACAATGAAAAATCTTAAATTCTATTGGAAAATTAGTAGATTTGTAGCTTTTCTAATGAAATATTTCATCATTATCAAAACTATTTTGTATATCAGCCTAACAAATAAGATCTTTAAATAATATACAACATTATAGTTAACTATCACCTCTTTCTCAGCAAATGTAACTAATTATATCAACACATCTGAATTTTTTGCCAAGCATAAATTATTTTATTCTCAAACGTTTTCAACCTACTTATCATAAGCCATCTTCAGGCTTATGATTACCATTCCAAAATTCTTTAACTATAATTAAATTCATTATAATTAAATATGTATATTGTATATCAAACACACCTTATTACTGAGAGACTTTGTTTATTACATTGAACAAACTAGGGGTATAAAGTGTAAAGGTTCGTATAGCATCAATAACCTGATGACGACCCATTGAGTGGGTTGAAAATGTTTGTTCAATGTAATAAACAAAGTCTCTCAGTAATAAGGTGTGTTTGATATACAATACGCAAAGAATCAGAGTATGTATTAAAGTTTAAATATATATTTTTTGCTGTATTTCAAAATAATGGGATAAAAATAATACTTTTACATCATCCATGAATAGTTCAGGATAAAAATATTTAGGAAATTTTTAAAAATAAAATATTTAACTAAATTCTCTCAAATTAATTTCATTTTTATAAAAATAAAACAAATATTAAATAAAAATACTTTTATTATGTCATAAATAAATACCTTCATTAATGCTGCAGCCAAATGTGCATCTCGTTGATAAAAATTTCTAGGAAATGTTCTTTCTGGGGGTATACTAAAGCCATAGCCAGGTGGGTCCCAAGAAATTAATGTAAATTTTGATTTATCTAACTTTTCAAGTTGTGGTCCAAAATCTGTTCTTGTAGAACCTAAGATGTAGAGATATATATTGAAGAATAATGTTAAAATTAACATATTGTTACTTTTTATAAACTATAATCTGATTTATCTGTTAATTTTAAAATTTCAATATTAATTTTTGCACAGACTTTATATTTCTTAACTTATTGTTCAAATATAAAATTTAATTTAGTTGCATTAAAATTGTTTATAAAAATCATACTCAATTTTGACTTTTTAACATATTTTAAGCAAATTATTTTTAAAATATGACTAAAAATAATATTGAAAATAATTGATTATCTTAGATAAAAAAAAACTTACAGATGGTCGTCATGAGTGGTCAATGAGAATTGAAATATTGCCATTTTAAGTGAATACACAGTACCAGTACAGATCTCAATATAGATATATAAAATTGAATTTTGTATAATATATCAAGTAAATGATTTTAAAAAAAGTTTAAAAATGATAGCAAAATGAAATGATTGGATTCTTTTTACCTCTATGTCCTTAATGTTTTATTTTTTATTTCTATATTGCTATATTGTCTACTTTGACTTTGTTTATAAGTAAGATTTATTATATTGGTGTAGTTTCTGATAAGCAAAGAGAAGTCTTAGTCAAAAGTCAAAACAAAATAACAGGTTAAAATAAAGATATTTTGTTTTGACTTTTGACTAAGAGTTCCTGTCTTTGCTAATCAGAAACTATACTAGTATAGTTTCTGATTAGCATATATACTAGTATAATAAGTTCTATTTATAAACCAAGTAGACAATATAAAAACAAAAAAAGTGAAATTATTGGATTTTGTTTTTGAACAAAAATGTTACATATATTAAAAATAAGTGTTCTAATATGTTGTTATTCTAGTTTTGTTCCATTTATTTTAGTTTCTATTTCAAGCATGTAGTGTTGCTTTTTTTCAGACTTATCATACAGGAATGCCAGAAAAAGTCTAAGTTTTATCTATAGATAAAACTTAGACTTTATTGATAGTAGGTTAAGTCTAAAGTATAAATTTTACATATACTATCTTTGGTGTTCTTGTATGATAAGTCTGAAAAAAGCAACAATATATATGTTCAAATATGTTATTATAATTTTATATTTTTTATATTTCACATATATTTACTATACTTTTGTAATAAGACTTTATTGTATAGAATAGAATAGAATAGAATAGAATCTCTGTTCAAAACCTGATGAAGGCTTATTAATCAAGCTGAAAATGTTAGTTTATTAAAAATTAACTACTGGAACTTTTAACTGTTCGTTTAAAAGTTCGAAACCATTTTTAATCAATGGATCAGACAGGCAATGGGAAACCATGTGATCATTTTCTCATGAGAGTATTATGATGAGGATGAGCAATGATGGTATCGATGATATGCATGGCGATCCGGTCAGCAACCGGTGCCAAACTGATTCCAGGTTATTTGGTGTGAAATGGGCTACCGGATGTGTGGACATAGGCAACCAGGCACCACAGGCAAAATATGCATCTGAAAAAAATTTAAAATTACATCTAAGGAGAAATTTATCCTTACTTGGAATGTAAGAGGACTTTTACAGGCTGGAAAGCTCTACATAGTAGAAAGAGAGCTTAATCAAGAGAATATACCGATTTGTGGCATCTCCAAAACACATTGGAGAGAGAGTGGTCATTTTGATACAATCGACCACACAATATATGTTTCAGGTACGATCAAAAATGGACGTAATGGAGTGGCCTTTGTTAACAACAAATGCCTAACAAAGTTTGTGGAAGACTATGAACCTATCAACAACAGCATAATCAAAATTACAATAGCTTCCAGGCCGATGACTCTGGAGTTCACCTGCTTCAGGATGGTATGTCCTGTGTAAATAAGTCCTCCTCAAGATTGATGAGTTGATTCAGGTTGTCGTACATCAGACGCCTGGTATGTCAAATAGCCTTTCTAAGATGCCTGATGTACAACAACCTGAATCAACTCATCAACCTTGAGAACTTATTTACACAGGATCTTCCAAGCCAGTAAAACTTCATATTATTCAGGTTTATATGCCCACTTTGGCTGCTTCAGATGATGAAGTGAACACAGTGTACACACAAATTGAAAATATCATCACAAAAATACCACAGAAGGACATATTGATAATAATGGGAAATTTTAATGCTAAGATAGGCAATACATAAAATGATGATAATCTACAGTGCATTATAGGACAATTTGGACTGGGCACCAGAAATGAGAGAGGAAATAGACTCCTTCAGTTTGCAATTGATAACAGTTTTTCAATAACTAACACCATGTTCAAATACCATTATCAGTATCTTTCTACTTGGACCTCCCCAGCAGGTGAATATAAAAACCAAATTGATTACATGTTAATAAGAACAAGATGGAGATCATCAGTAAATAATGTCAGAGCAAGACCTGGAGCATTCTGCAACTCTGATCATAAGCTACTAAAAGCGGAAGTAACATTAAAACTTCATACAACAAAAATATCAAAGATCAATCCAAGACTTGAGACTCCAGCTAGTTCAATCTTACAACAAACTCTCCAAAATTTAGACCCTCCATCCTTTACAAACAACCCAGATGATTTATGGACACAAACGAAAAGTTAGATTTTAACTGGAGTACAACAATGCACCACACATTGGCCACAGAAAAAGAAATATTGGATGACAAATAGTACCTTTGAATTAATAGATGAAAGGAAAAAAATCATAACAATGCCACTTAATTTCTCCCAAACATGCCACTTCAGGCACACAGGCAATACCATCCCTGAACTAAATATTCAAAAACTGTAATTTGTTAAAATACTGAAATATTTTTGCAAAGCTTTTCCTTTATTTTGGTATGTTAACTTTCACTCTATCGATAGAAAACTATTGCTGTTTACACTGTTAAGTCATGACAATAATAGATATAAGTATAATTTGAAGAAAAATTAAAGCAGATAAGATTTAATGCTACTAAATGTAAATTTGAATGAAAAAATTCACATTCAAATTTAAATGCCTTTTGTAAAAGTTACCTATTGACTGTTATATATTTAGAAATTAATGAAGATAAGAAATAGTAATAAAAAAATGCATTATAAAACTATTTACCAAGAGCTCCAGGTATTAATAACAATTTATAATTTCCATAACCAACTTCTTCATAATGAATGTTAATTTTATTAACTTCAATCTTCTTTCCAGGATATCTATATATTTGAAAAAAATAAATTTAAATATTAAATATCAGGAAAAATTATTAAATAAATATTAATAAACTTACCAAAAACAATTTAAAATCATTTACTGTAATAAATGAATTCAAACTTTAAATTAACATAATATTCAAACAGGTAACCAATAAATAAAATGTTTCTAATTTATTTCAGTAAATACATATAATTTTTTAAATTTATATTACCATGTTTTGTTGATATTTTAACAATATCTGTATATGAATTTCAAATATTTAAAATTTTTATTTTTAATAAAACTAAATAATGCCTTGTACTTCAGATTATTTATTACACAAATTATTTTTTATTTTTTGAATTGTTTAATCTTTCACGTCCAGACTAAAAGATTCAATTTTAATAAATTTTTTTAAATTGAATTGTTTTAAATCAGAGTCTAAACAAGACAAACTAAAAATATTTATATAACAGATTCTCTAAAGCAGTAATTGTTATTATTTTGAAATAGTTTTAATTGTGTTTTGCTAAAATTCATGACAATAGGATTACAAAAACAAATGTTTTAACACAAAAAATATACATAAATAAGTGCTTTAATTGAAGCACAGGAATGAAAACAAACGTGGAAATATTTCAGCTAATTTGCATTTCCAGGCAAAGAATAGTTCGAACTGGCATTGCTATGGACGTGAAGCATAAAAATTTCTTTTCCATTTACTTTGGACAGTGCCAGGGCACGTTGACCCACCCCGGGGCATGTCACTGTTGGAGGCAAATGTCTCGCAAAGGGTCGCACGTACAGGTACGGTTCCTTTGACATTTTTTGCTCATACAGGGAGTCTACAATTCTGGGGTGAAAAATCCCTCATTCAGAGTCCACATCTTACTAATTAAAATGCATATAACTGTTGATTATTAGTAACAAACTTTCTTTGATATATTTATAACAGAATAATTGATACATAGATTTTAAACTTACTATCATTATTACATCTTTTTTTTTAATCTATTTCAAAGCATGAAACAACTTACGATTGTTTCGAGTATTGACGATAAATGAGTCGTCTGCAAGTGTTTGATAAAATATTGTAAAACGATGTCATCATCAAATTAGCACTGATCGTCTCTTAGAGACAGATTCTCATGCCAAAAATAAAAACGAATACATCTACAATTACTGCACTACCCACCACTTCATCGTCTCGCTAACAGCGAAACGACTGAAGTTCAAATATTTATCGCTAACGGCGCTACGTTCCATCGTAAAATCGTATTAGATTGTATTGAATTATATATACAATAGATATATTTTATGCTGCCGCAACATCGATATTATCATTTGAACTATAGTCACAACCATAGCGCACTTATCATATAGTAAATTATATCACATGCAGACACACAGTGCACGCTGCACATTTCTAACGATTAAGATTAAACGGTGATTGAAATTAATAAATAATTATACAGATATTGTATAAGATTTATTGAGCTGTAATTTTGAAATTGCAGACCTATAAATTCCCACTGGCAGTGGTTGTTTGCTGTTTGTCCGTCTGTCCTTCCTTAATCTCGAGAATGGTGTTAGATAATAGTCAAGATAAAGTATGGAAAGCGCAAGGGTAGGATGCCCCGATTAACTATATAAGAAGTTTCTGTCTAGACCGGATGTTATGTAAATTCAATTCAAAAATTTTCCCCGAAAGGAGTTAGATAGATGACCGGCATAACTTTAGTGTTATCGGGAAAAATATGATATACAGAGGCAAGATACTACTAATTTGAGATAGTCAACATATATTTTAGATTAAATAAATTAAGAATATGATTAAATATTGCATCCCGGCATTGTGACGATGTCACAATAAATAATTGCTCGTTAAAAAACTCTCTTTTAATAAATGATAAAGATATATAGTCATAAGGTTTTCCTTCTGGCTGTATGCATGTGAAAAAAAGCAGGACACTGTTATTTGCAATGTGGTTATTAATTAAGCAAAACTAAGCGCTTAAATAGGTATGATGGTGAATAAGGGCCTTTTCAAGGGCACACAGGCCGTACTATATTGTTGTGTCCGTAAAATAAACGACTCTTATTAACGTATATAATTAATAATTAACTTTATTATAATCAAACGTAACTTTGTGATAATACAAATGTAACTTTATGCCTCCAGGTCTAAGTGTCACTACAGCTAACGCACGACTGACCAAAGACAAAGGAACACGACAAAAGTCTGAAGTACCAAGGGGCAATTCGGTGTGGGTTATCCCCTAGAGGTTTACATATTTTACATACATAGCATACAGTGGTACCTCAGGTTATGAACGCCCCAGCATACGAAATTTTCAGGATACGACATGAAATTCGAACATATTTTTGCTTCACGATACGAACAAAAACTCACCATACGACGTTACATTAGTTCGCATTTTTCATTTGTTTTTCTTACTACAGCTATTTTTTTAAATGTATTACTTGGCTTTAATTTGAGTATGTTTTTCGCATTGGAACGAATTATTTGGTTTTACATGTAATCGTATGGGAAAAGATGATCCACCTTACGACATTTTCATGATACGATTTCAGTTTCGGAACGGATTAATTTCGTATCCTGAGGTACCACTGTATATGTACTGTACTTTCTTACGTACAGCAACTCTACATAAGCATACCGGTATATAAGCTAAGGTGACCAGAGTTCTGCTTTTGGCGGGACAGTCCCGATTTTTTACAATTTGTCCCGCGTCCCGCGGCGTTTTAAAAAAGTCCCGAGTTTTGGAAAGATTAAGCTTTGTCAATTATGTGTCCTAAACTTATATCTTTGTTTAAGATTCGTAAAAATCATTTTGTATCACACGTATCAGTGCCAAGATGTGCGTGAACATCGGAAATAAAGAATGCTGCGCCGACAAAACCCTTTGTGTTTGTGGCAAAGACCGACAGAAAATGATTTGGGGCGCGCAGCTGCAGCAACCAAGCAGCGCGTGTTCACAGGCTGTCCAAACGAGCGAACATTTTGTTCGTTGCATGTTACTTGAACACGTTTTTCTACCGTAAATAAAGTGTGGACATATGATAAATCACAATTAAGCGTTGAGACTTTGAAAGCTTTATTATGTGTGAGATATACTTTAACAAATTCTTGCGAAAATTTTCACGACATTTTAAAACAACGACAGCAATCTACTGAAAAAGTTCACTCAACTAAGAAATATGCGAAAAAATAAAGAGGTTTTTAAAGATTTATAATACAGTAGAGCGTTGTTTATCCGAATCAATTGGGGGACTGGGGTTGTTCGGATAACCGATTATATACAAAAAATATACAGTAGAGCATCGATTATCCGACTCAATTGGGGACTGGGGTTGGTCGGATAACTGAAAAAACGGATAACCGAAAAATATGAAAAAATACATTATTAGTATAGTATATCAGTATATCTCATGTAATTAGAATATTAGTATATCGCTATTAACCTACTTCGCGTTGAATATTCATCGATGTGAAAATTCAACAAAATAACAAAACCTAACAAAAATTGAAGCCTAACAAAAATTTTTTTTAAAATAATAATCGTCGCTATTGTATCGTTAAAAATTAGAAAATTAAGCCTCGTTTAACCTATTCCATGTTGAAATTTTTCTCCGATGCGTGTCGCTTCGCGTTGAATTTTCGTCGATATTAAGCCTAACGAAAACTTTTTAAAATACTAATCGTGGCTATTGTATCGTTAAAAATTAATTTTTTTATTTTGTACAAACAAAATAAATATATTGAAAAATATAAAAACCAAAAAAATATACTTTAGAAGTTGATCTAGTATCAAAAACGTTCGATTCAGCACGACAGTCCTCAGAAAAACATCACACAAAAGTTCCAGTGCTGCCAGCTAAAACACACACACCAACAAAAAAAAAATATTGGAGTAGCCCAAGATATAGCCAAAGATTGCAGCGCCACAGCACTAGCGAAAATTTAAATTTGCCGACTGGAATGCTTTCGGATAACCGACTTTCGGATAAACGACGCTCTACTGTATTTGTAAATTTTACATTTTTACATATGTTGAAATTAAAAATATATATATAATACAATACAATTTTGTGATCTTTGATGATAAAATTTTGTTGCTCTAGAACAATTTTTATCAACAAGACAACCTCCCAGTCAATTTTGTCCCGCTTCAGCAATGTTAAAATCTGGTCACCATTATACAGTATAAGCATAATTAATAATCGCATATATTTACTGGTTAATGTAAAATTATCCATAATTTTACCGGTTCGCAATGAGAAAAAAAGTTGAGAAACACTGATGTAATGTAAAAATCTATGATTTTATTTTTAATGCTGGCAACATATTTAACAGCGCCTCTAGTGACTGAATAGTGAATAAAATGGGAAACAGTCACACGTGGTTTGAATATTATAAATCGATGTAAACACTATAACTTCTATTCTAAAAAAAGAAATAGTAAACTGTTTGTTAAATACATTATAAATGCATTTTTTTAAATGAAAAGGAAAAGCTTACTAGATAATTTGGTAAATATTTTAAGAAGTATTAATGAAATGATTAATGAAAAACATTGTCAAGGTATTACTGGTTTAGCTGCTTCAAAGCAACAGAATGAAATGGATACTCGTAAGCAGAAAAGAAAACGAGCAGAACAAGACAATTCGCTTGTACGATATTTTGTCATTATATTATAAATATTTCACGTGTAATTTATATATTTTATATAGTAAATTTTATTTAAAATTTTTTTGAAATACTTGAAAACTTCCGTTTGACTTTTAATGTTGTCATATGTCCTTTATTTCAGGTAAACTGTCCTTATCATTTATTGAAACGAGAAAGGACACAATTTGCCCTTTATTTTCGTTTTTCGACACCTGCGTTTTGTAATGACAGTGGTGGATTTCTATGCAGGTGTATGCCTATCATAAGATTTGCAGAATCCTTTATTGTAACTAAACTGCTCTTGACATTTATTGAAAGAAGAAGATGCAATTTATTCTTTATTTTCATTTTTCAATGCTTGTATTTTGTAATGGTGGTAGTAGATTTTGCACATTTTTGACAATGAACTGGAGGGAAGAGATGATGTGATGATAGCTGATCCAGCTGGAAAAACCTGTGTGCAGTGTGCTAGGTCTAGTGACTTTTTGATGACAATATTATAAAGTTTACAATTGCTGAAATAGAGATTTAGTTACTTTTTAGATCACCCCTTAGTGAAAAAATAAAAAAAACCCTTATTCTTAATATAAGAATTTTGCTACTTTTTCTCTGGTGCTTAGTACTTTTCTGTACATGGCAACACTAACTGTAAGTGAATTATTTCACTGCATACTTTGATCTTATTGAATATGCACTGTACAGTTCAACATATATATTTAATCCTCTACTATGTTTATGTATTATTGTTAGTGTTATCTTCTAATTTCTTGTAATACAAGTTCAGACTTTAGGAGAATGGCTGTGCCTCATAGAAGAGATGAAGAAATAACCCATTGGAGAAGATTGATACTTTTGAAATTTAAAATCGGTTTCCATTCTAGAATAAGCAAAATTTAAAAGTTGGAAAAAATACATTGAAAAGACTCCTTTGGAAATTAAAATCTGTTCCTGTGCTGGAATATTTAGAACTTCACAATTGGAACGTAACAGTTTGAATTTTGAATAAGCTTTTTTTTTTTTACATTCTTTTCTAGTGACTTTTTTTTTTGTTTTTCTTATTCTTCTCTTCAGAAGACTGCTGCTGATGACCTTTGAAAGGTTGAAAATGTTATGGTGAAAATACCATTTCCTGCTGAAGTTTAAAGTTAGTGCAGTTTTATGTTATACCTTCAGTTTTACATCTGCTCTTTAACAACTGTCTGCTTGGAACTTTGGCATTAAAAAGTGAGACCTGTGCAAAGAAGCAACTGACAGTGCTGCTGTGCACAAACAGTAATGGGTCAGACAAACAAGGGCTATAATTACTGGAAAGTTTGCAAAACCATGAAATTTTAAGAATGTAAAGAAACTCTATAACCTACTATACTAACTCGAAAGTACTGTTATATATAGTACTCTTAATGCTTTATTCATTGCATAAGTCAAGAAAATTATTTTCCTTTTTTGTAGACAATTGTACTGCTCATTCTGTAGCTACAACATTTTTTCAAGAAATATAAAGGTAATTTTTCACTCCCCAAACTGCATTAGTGTTGTATAACCTTTAGATTTGATTAAATTCTTCAAGTGTGTGGGAAGCAGCTAGTGCTATATAGATTTATATCTTTGATTAACTCAGAGAAAGAACTCCAATTTAAGATTGGCATTTTACAGGTCATTTACTTTATTGTTTTGGTATGGTAACAAGGCTAACACTTGATGAACCTGATACCAGTCCTGCAATTAATAGGCTTACATGGGATACCCTATGTATTTATATGTTGATGGCATGCTCTTGCAACCAATAAATACAGTTAATAATCATGTTCCAATTTTATTTTAAAATTTAACATTTGAAATTGTTCAATACAAGGCATTCTAAGTTTGGAATTCCTTCTTAATTTAACCTGAAGCAGACCTCAAGTGAGGCTGAAAATGTTCATTTCACAAATTTTAAATGTTGCCAGACATAAAGGTTTATCGAGTGTGTTTATTAACATCGGTAATTACGTTGTAAGATTATCTACAGTGCAGAACTACTTTGCAAACTGTGGCTATATGAAGAGATATAAAGAAGGATCATATACAACAGTGGTAGATAGAAGTGTTGAGGATGATGTCATGCAAAATGAAGACTGGATTTGACTGATGGAAAGCGTTGCTGGCTTGGTCTTTGATGCCAAAGTATCTGTGGACCAGTCACTCAACATATGATGTGATCCTTGTGTGTCTTCCAACTCTTTGGTAATAGCTTTGATATCTGGAATACAGGCGCATTAAATTTCTTTCAAAAAATGGCTGATGAATTAATGCATTAAAAAATACATAGAAAAGACTAAAATGTCCTGATTTTCATCATGTTGAATCACTAGAAACAACTTTCTAGACTGTTTTGCATGTTTTTCCAGGGGTATAGCCTCTAATAAAAGGTTGTCTCTACAATATAAGACTTTGTTCTTGGTGATTCATCATGACAAAAATTAAGATGTTTTAGTCTTTTCTACTTTTTTTTTAAAGACCTTTTAAATTTTATTTTATATAGATGCTCACATCTGTCATTTTTCCTTATTCATAGTTTTTAGATTTCTGAAAAAAGTGATAAATCAAGGTTTCACTTTAGCAACTGCATGCAAATAAATCACTTTATGAAATTGACTTGGTCAAATCTTTTATGTATTACAACTGCAATTTATTAATTTAATGTATATTGTTGATTATTTTTCATTGACAGTTTTCATTATGGATTTAAATTTTTATATGTTCTATTTTGTATTTTAAATTTCTTTTTGTTCAATAACTGTTATGTAATCAACAACTGAGGAAGACATCAAATTAAATCAAAAATGTTTTTGTTTCCTTAAAATTTATTTTGCTGGAGTTTTTGTAAAGTGCAAATTTTATTTTCTTGATATTTCTTCCAATTCTGCAATAATTTCTTTACAAGTTATGGTTTCACCAGCCAAGCAATATAGAAAATTAGTTGCAAAGTTTTGTAGGACTAGAGCTAAGTTGAACTTTCTTATTGAATGTTGCATCAACACAGCCTTTCCAATGCCTATGTATTGTATATGATTACCTGTTAGGTGCAACTCTCTCCTTCCATAACTATGCCAACTGTGTCTCAGAAAGGCTATAAGAAATATATGGCAGCACTCATACACTCTTTTACACAGTTGATAAAATTTGAGGATACACTGCAGGTACAAGACACTAACCTATTAGAAAATGTGAACAGATGTGTTTTGTTGGCTTAGCTGAACAGGTCATCAGTTCATTAAAAGGGAGATATATGAGCAAGCTTTGAATGAGTTTTCTATGTACAGAATACAAGATGACAACATAATAACCCACAAGTTATTACATGGGATGATATAACACCTTTTCAATGCATTCTACGAACCTTTGGACCTCTTCGTCTTTTCTCCTAATTTGCTCCTGGAAGTCTTTTTTCTGGATATCAAAGCATATGCTGATGAGATGGAAAATGGAAGTTGTGTGGAGAAGAGGCAAGGTAATGATGTAGATGATGATGATGCTGAGCCTGAGTTAGCACCAAGTTTTACGAAGCACTTTGTGTGTTCAAATTTATGACAATGTTTTTGTATGCTCATAACATTTCTGAAAGAGACTAAGCAAACATTGTGAATAGTGAAAGTTTATTATTCTGTTTGAAAAGGAAGTGCACTAATAAATAAATGAATATTAATGATTAATTTTAACTTTACAATGTTCCAAAATAGAATGCAATATAAATTATGAATCTAGACTTGAAGTTGGACTGTAAATCAGTTTGAAAGCATTTGTGTAATCATTAAATATTGTTGCTGAAAAGAAAAATGGTATTTTTTTGATATTTGAACAGTTTTCAATTTAAGTTTTCCTTTTTAATAGATACAATTCCAATAGTTATAACTGCCACTGGTTTAATAAACAAAAAGCTCTCAAACAACATTTCAAACTTAACCCAATGAGTATAATCCCTGAAGCACAAAAATCAGTTATTCTTGAAACCTGCCAGATTATTTGCACTGTACTAAACTAGCATTCTAAATGCTGAAACTAGGTTTGACATTTAGATCACTTATATCTTTGAGTGTAAGGTGATAATCCCTGTGAAAAATATAATAGTTAATAAAATAATGAGTTTAAACACTCATTATTTTATTAACTATTATATTTTTCACATTATATGTTTATATGTTTTGTCAATTTAGTAATGTATATATTAATATTTATAACATAAGAGATTAATACATACATATTCACAGATTTTACAAAAATATTGAAAGTTAATTTTCTATAAAATTTTCAGATAAAAAAGATGAAAAAAGATGTTTATAAAATTCAAGATTGTTTCAATGAAACAGAATATTATTTTGAAAATGGTAAGACATCAAATTTAAATGATTAAAATCTACATTAACTTTAAAAAATATTGTGTAAATTACATTCTTAAATAGTTTATTTAACATCTAGTGCAGGGGTGGCCAACATACAGCCCGCGGGCCGGATCTGGCCCATCTAATGAATTTATGTGGCCTGCGTTTAATCTTTCAATATTAGCTACTCAAGTAGGAATAGCTCGATGAAAAATTCTGATACCTAAAAATAAAAATAAAAAATGATGATCAGCAACTCACTGTGCATTTAGAGATAACCCTCCATTACAAATCTTTTAAGTACAGCATAAAATGCTGATAAAGCACAATAATGTGAAAAATGTCTGTAATCTGTATGTACAGTTTAGTCTCTATGGGGTGACACCACAATGAGATCTTGCACCATCTCAAAATCTTCCTAGGACAGACTGTGGTTCGGCCTGTGAAAAAAGTTTTCTTTCCAATTCAGTCTGGGGGCAAAAACTGTTGGCCACCCCTGATCTAGTGTAATATAGTTAGACTTAATAAATTTTTAGCTTTATTTTTTTTAAATTTATACATTTTTTTTTTTTTTTTGTGAATATATACTTTACATGTTATGAAAATAATGATGATTTTGACTAAAGAAGGATAACTAAAATATTTGAGATATTCTTCTGTGTAATTATATAATTTTATACTTAATGGTCAAATACAGTGACTCTGAGGTTAGCACTAAGCAATTTTACATGGCTACAATATAAGCATTGTCATAGCCTCTATCCATTTGAGGTGTTCATTGGGAGGTGCAGTGAGGAGGAGATTGGCTTGAGTAAAGTTGGCTACTATGTCTGGATCTGTTACATAAGTAGTGAGGGCAGTGGAGGTTTTTGCTTGACAAATATCTGCCTGATGTTCTTGTATTCTGATGCCCATGGACTGTTTAGTAGAGCCTATATATATCAGGTCTCTATTGCATCTATTATCCCTTAAAGGGACACTATAGACTCTGGGGAGTACGCCGGGGTTAGGTGGGTCCTTCCCATTATGTAGGATGTTAAAAATAGTTGGGCACCTCCTGAAAGCAAGACGTATCTGGTGTTTCCTGGCAACCTTGGTGTATACTGATCTTAGGTACGGGTTAAAGGTGATGGGGATCCATTCTGTGTCGTCAGGTTGGTTATCAGTCAGCTGGTCCACCTCCTGTGTGTGTTCTGAATATATATGTTGATAACCTTGTATCAGCCTATGTATAACTTTGTGATAACCATGTTCTGCGGCTATGCGTAGCTGCAGAACACGGTTATCATAGCCCTGCTTTATAGCAATTTAGATGACTTTTCAAAAACAGTTGTTATATTGAATGGTTGTTAAATCAAATTTTCACAATATTTTTAATTTTGGTGGAAAGATGTTGATTGTCATACAATTTTATGACTACATAAGAAAAATATTCCAAAATTTAAAAAACTGTTTTTAAAATTATATTATTTAAAGTAACTTAAAAAAATTAATTAAAAAGTAAAAAACAATAGCACTGTATAACTTTGTTTTTAATAATTAAATGATAGTTGAATTATAAAAATAAAAAATCAAGCAGTCAAATAATGGTTACTAGATTCTACAAGGGTATATGTACTTTAATATGTGTTTGCATGTTGTAATTTTTTTTTATTTAATTCATTATCTGAATTATATTTATATGGTATTTTTATTTTTATGTACAATAAATGTAATTTTGATTAAAGAAATTTTTTTTCTAATGTTAAGACATATTTTCTTCTAAGAAGGCAGTTTGTTTTTACTTCCACATTTGTTGATTTATTGTTTGAAAGGTCACTCTAATGAGATTCTGGCTATTTATTGAATTATTATATTGATAGTAAAATATATTATGCTTATGGGAGATTGGCCAGGATCTTCTCTATTGGTTGTTATATTGTGATGAATGTGTAAAACAAGGCTGACTATAATGTGAGTCTACTGTATATTAATAACAAACACTAATGTATGATATAAAAAATTTTAATAAATAAATTTAATGAATTATTAATTTTATTTTATGATAGGTTAATTGATTTTGGGTTTGGATAACAGATTACTGATAATAACTAATTGAAGATTGTATTAAAACTTTTTAGGTTTAAGAAAAGTTTATCCATATCATTTTTCTTATAATACATATTGCAAAGGAAGATGGCTTGGACAACCATTGTTAGAAGTCATGGTAAATGAATTTGGTGCTTACACACGAGAGCTTTATGTAAGTTAAAAGTTTAGTAAATATATAAAATACTTATTTAGTTTTGTAAAATTAATTAAAATTAATGCAGAAGTTTATAAATATTGGTACTGCAAAGTTTCAAATTTATAAATATGCATATATGTGACACTCATAAATACACACATACAGTACATATATACGCACATATGCATTCATATCCAAAAAATAAGCATAACCATTAATTTGGCATATAGCTCAGGGACTACTGATTAGAACAGCTTGAAATTTAACATGTAAGCAGAACATTGTATTCTTTATGCAACAAAACAGTTAAAAAGCAAAAATTTAATCTGAATTATGTCAAACCAAAAACAAAAAGAAAGTACTAAGAATTGTTGTAAATCATTTTGCACATAAAGTGGTTAATATGGCATGTTGCCTCCTGCAAGCATCTGCTGCATAGCAATTTGCTCATGTTGATTATAATGTTTCAGTTTCATCGACAGCAAAGTTAATTTTTGAAAAAGAGTATCTTGAAGCTCCTGGAGTATTTTTGGTGGAGGTTGGAATGCAACTTTTCTCTCTAGATTATTTCACATGTGTTCTATGGAATATAGGTCTGAAGATATTGCTGGTCATTCTATGCAACAAATATTTTCACTGTCAGTAAAGTCATTAACAAGTCCAGCTCGTGGGCCAATAATCTGTAAGCAGTAATGGGCCTATGCACATAGGTGTTATTTTTTTGTGAAAATGAAATCTGCACTCACATCTTAGAAAAATGTCGTGTGGACAAAGCAGTCTCAGTAATTTAGCTGTTTAGTAGTCTGATGTGAATTTCTGCTGGTTTTTTTTTCTGTGGCTCAGCAGCAATAGGACCAAATTGGCTTGTGTTTCATTGTATGTACTTTAAATTACATGTATAATGGAATGTAATTGTGAATAATTACATTAGTTTGATGAACAGTTTGATCATCACGATACGATGGCTGAAAATAATGTAACATTGCATTTTATTACATTATAAATGTATAGACTTGAGTAATAATAAAGTAAATTTTAAAGATTTAGCTAATAACTTTAAGTGATGTGTTAGCATATTTAAAGGGAGAAACAAAATTGTTATATTAAATGAGAAATCATACTCAATGCAGACTATTTAATTTTGTATGAATTCTGAAACTGTATGAGAAATATGTCCTAGTTGAAAATTTCTGTTTTTAGGTTTGAGAAGACATTTTATTCAAAATAACTTTTTATTTATGATTTTTGCTATAATAGTTCATTTTAAGAGGATGATATACAAATTTATTAGTAAATAGAATGATATATAGATGTTTGCTTTTAAGAGCTAATATATTACAATTTATCAGTGCTCTCTCACTCTGTCTCTTTGTGAGTATAAATATTTAATTTATTGAAACAAAGATACAAATTAAATGACAGCAAATGGTATAAAAAATCCAAAAAAGTGATATTCAAATAATAAAAATGCATTTGTACAATATTATATCTTTTAAAATGTCAGAGATAATAAATAGAAGTATAATATTTTTATCTGACAATATGTAATCAATTATGTGGCAATGTGAAAAGCAAACAAAAGTGTTTGGAAAGCATTCAAAAATTTCAAAGCATCCAATCATTATTTCTTTAAGATAAAATTGTTTGGAAGATGATGCAAGGAAATACTCTTAGTTTGTTATTTTTTCTAAGTTCTAAATTACATATTAAATCAAAAGAAAGGACAAATAGCAACAAGATAAACACAAATGCATTAATTAGTAGTTCCAATACAATAATTAGTAGTATTCTAAAACTAATATTAATAAAGTAGTATTCTAAACTAATATTAAAATGACGTTCATTCATCTTCAATTGAAATTGTAATTATTTTGGGACTTATAATGATGATAATCAACTGATAACATTGTCTGGTAAGTAAATTAGACAACAATTATTGATATTCTGGTTTTATTGAGTCTAACATAAAACAATTTAAAATGTTAAAACAATTAAAAAGTATACCCATTGACAAAAAAGTTATGCATCAAAAGAGTGGCATTTGGATTTAATAAAACTTTATCAATGCAAATATAATGATAGTAATACTGTAAGTGATTCCAATATCACAGCAAAGGAACAAGTAACTGTACTGTAGTTCCATAGGAACTACAGTACAGTTACTTGTTCCTTTGCTGTTACTTGTCCCTTAAATTGTACTGTAGTTCCATAGGAACTACAGTACAATTTAAGGGAATTTTTAGTACTTTGTAGGACTTCTTGTTTGGATATGTGCAGTGATATTAAAAAATCATAACATTATCAGAAACTATTTTTGTTGTCTTATTCTAAATCTATCACTATAAGATATTAAATAATATTTATCAAAAAAATGTTTAAATCAAAGATTGTGTGAGAAAATATCTATCTATAATAATAGAGATTTTAATAGTTTTATAAAAAATATAGTTAATGTATTCTATTAAAAAGGATGACAAATATATTGAAATCTAATTGTATTGGAACTAGAAACTGAATTATGTGTATCTAAGAAGAAAAGAGTGACAAAAAACTATTTTTATTAAATTTTTAGTGGCATCTGTTTTTTAATGAAAATATTAAATGTTCAAAAATTAATTCTTTAATTTGAATTATTAAACTATATCAATATATTTTATGTTAGATTTATATAATGAAAATATTGTCATAATCATAATTATATATTTTAAATTTATTAATTCTAATTTTTATATTTTATATTGTAATAATATA